GGTTGGACGTGGACAAGGACAGTCTGTGAAGAGTGGGTGAGGCACGAAGTGCGCTCACACACGTGCACACTCACACTCGAACCCACGCCAGGGTGTCGCTGTCTTTCTAGCTCCACCTCCGTATCCGCCTCTGTCTGTTCTCCCCGCCTCTGCCCCGTCCCTGCTCCCCCATGGCCCAGAGTAGCTGCCAGGCACTACGCTGTAACATCGGTCATGATCACAGCAACTCGGTTTCGATGCCTCTTAACGCCAATGCTCACGAGAGAGAGGCTGAGAGCTGGACAATCTATGTATTGCTTGCCCTTGGTTCAGAGGCCCCGCTGGGGCCATCACCTGTGCCGGGGGCGGGCTGTCCAAACTCACCCAGGCAGGTGACAGCATTGGATTTTCATGCTCCAGATGGAAAAGCGGGAGCAGGGCCTGTCTAGACACGGGGTGCATAAGCGTGGGGAGAGTTAGGGCAGCTCAGACAGAAGGGGGCTGTCAGACTGGGAGGGGTTGGCAGGCTAACTGGCTACATGGCTTACTTACTCCCTGATCGCCTCAGTTCCTCATGTCGACAGTGGGGTGAGTGGCGGTTTTCTCATGAAGAGCAAATAAATAATCTGTGTCAAGCTTGTAGGAAAGGACTAGTCTCTGCACCCTATTTTGATGTGCAGAAGTTAGCTTCTGATCATGTACAAGTCTTGATCGCTAGTTTTCATTCTGTCTGCAACAAGTCACTCATCTTCTCTGGACTTCAGTTTCTCCATTTGTAAAATAATTTCTAAAATCTCCTCCATGTTTAGAACGCCAGTATGTTTGACTCGGTGTTCCAGGAAGCCTCTTGAGAGGCAGAGGGACCGGTGACAGTGTGGGCTGGGGGCGGCCGGAGGTGGGAGGATGGCAGCCCTGGCGAGCCAGCCAGCCAGAGGCACACGGGGTGAGGCTCCCCCTCCCTGCAGCCTCCTTGGGGCCTGGAGAAGAGGGTGCGGGGCAGTTAGTGAGGAAAGACTCAGGCCTACAGCGAATGGAGAGTGACCAGCAGAGCCGGCCTGCTCAGACCCTGGGCATGCCCAGAGAGAAGCCCAAGTATGAATCATCAAGGCTGAGGGCACAGACCTGTTTACCAAGGAGGCAGTGGGTTGGAACAAGGTCAGTGTGAGTGTTAAAGAAAAGAAAGGAGGCCATGCAGTGACCTCTGGGGCTCTTCTCACCCCGATGAAAGAGAAAACCTGGGGAATTTTCCCTGGCAGGACAGCACAGCTCAGCACCGTCTGGTGGGACCCTGCCTCTTGTTGCCGGGGCTGACTGCGCCTGCCAGCTTCTCGGGCTGGAGCTGTCCCTGTCACCAGCGTGCCCCTCAGCCCCCAGGCACAGCACGTCAAGTCCTGGCTGCCTCCCTCGCTTTCTTCGCTCCCCAGCCCACTTCTCTTCTCACAGGCCTGCACTCCACCTCCCATCCCTTCAACCCCCCAGACGCTTTCTTCTGTTCCCGTCCTGGGAACATTCCCAGAGGAAACTGAGCATTCCCAGAGGAAACTGCCCATGACCCTGAGGCCCACTCCCGTTCCTCACAGTAACTTTTACAAATTCTCACCTTTCTCTTCCAGCACATCCACCAGCAAATGCCACCTTGTCTCTTTAAAAAAAAAAACAAAAAAAACATTGATTTATTTATGCATACAGAACTGGGGTACAGGCCAGAGGTGCATGCAGAGTCAGAGACAGAGTGGGGAGCAGAACAGGCAGATCAACAAAGTACACTGCTGAGGGGAGCAGCGGGCAGGCCAGGAGAGGTCTGCTGCGCCATGTGGGTCACCTCTGGGGCAGGGATCGAACTCATGCTGCAGTGGCTGCAGCTAGCTTCATAGTGCTGCACTTTAACCCATTGTGCCAGCAGAGAGGGCCCCCACCTTGTCTCTTGATCATATTGTGTCATGACTGAAAACATGGGGTGGCCTTCTTAAGCCTAACTTTCTCGGTTTGTGTCCTGCCTTCAGCCTCTGGGAAAGCACTATTTTTCTCCAGGCCAAGGCCTCTGTTCCTCTGTATCTTGTTTCTGAGCTCCCATCTACCCTGGGTTCTAGCTCTGTCTGTCACTCCTTTTTCCTGTGTCTTTGAACGCCTCCTGGCTCCTTTATTGCTGTCTAAGTTGTAGGCTCTCCTTCTTATTAAAGCAATAAAACACAAACACGCCCATTCCTTTATACCCTCATGGCACCCCCTTTTCCTCTTTTGCCTGTCTATTCTGGAAGTGCTTTTTAGCTGATTATTTAGCTCATTTACATTTATTATAAGGTACATTTTCATTTCTTTTCACTGGATTTTTTTTTAAAGATTTATTTTATTTATTTATGCATACAAGAGCTGAGGTGTAGGCCGGAGGATTCACCAGAGACAGAATGGGGAGCAGAACAAGTGAATCTATGGAAATAGGCTGTGGGGAGCAGCAGGCGAGGCAGGCGAGGTCTGCTGCCCCACGGCTTATGTTATTTCTTATAATCTCACATTAATATTCTTTTTCTTTCCTTACTTGCCGTCTTTTGGGTTAGTTTTTTCTCATTCTATTTCCTTCCTTCTCTCAATATAGAAATAATGCACTCTTGCTTTTCAATTAGTGAATATCTGACAAGTAAGTCTGCATTCATATTTAACTTACACATTTTTTATTTAGTACTCACTCTTAAAAGACATTCCCTATGAAGGTACAATTCTAAGTTGACTGCTACAGTTCTCTCAGAAGCCTTCATTTTTGTTTTTTGGTGATGGAGATCATATTTCTTGGAATTTTGTGTATGGAAATTCCTTGCAGCTGAGTTGCCTTTCTTTCAGGCTCTACCACGGGATACAAACAGCCCAGATCATGTGAATCTAAACCTTGTGTAGTTTTCCAGACCATACAGGTAGGGTGAATTTTAATGAAATTAAACCGTGAAGGTCAGCTTGTGGCGACTTCTCAAGGGAAATTTTTCTCATTCACCAAGATTCAGTCGGGCAATTTTCTTTACAGTCCACATGATATTGCTAGCTCATACTTAGACTGAGCATATCATCACCATTTGTGGGGGACCGTTTGTGCAAAGGACCCTCTTCACTTTGGACAGACCTGCACTGTGTCTCCTGTCCCCTAAAACCAAAGTTCAGGTTTACATGGTATGCAAACACTCTCAAAGTGAAAGCCAGCTCTGGTGTTCTGCTTCCTCTCTTTCCTTAGTTTTGACTTGAGTATTATTTTTTCACTTTCTTGCTAGTTTACCTAGATTTTAATTTGTTTCTGCAGCCAAAGGTTTGTTTAAGGAAACCTGGAGCACATTCTGATTACAGTCAAGTTCTTCAAAGAATAGTTGAGTCTTTCTAAGCCTTCACCTCCCATTTATTCACAGCTCCTCTGAAGTTAGGTCTCCACCCCATCTTCTCCTGAATGTGCTCAGGTAAACATGAGGCAAGTTGCTCACCTTCCCCAGGTCTTAGCTGCCTCACCCATAAATCACACACACCCTGACATGCCTCAACCACTTCTTAGGATTGTAGTAAAGGTCAAATCATCGTCATAATATTGCTGTTCTTTTTATATCACTTCCTATGTGTCAGAGACTATGCTAAGTGGTTTACATACAACAACCTCACAATATGTCTTGGAGACAAAACTATTATCAACCCCATTTGACAAATGAGTAAACTCAGCTTTAGGGCGGCAAAGTATCTTGTACCTCCACCTACCCACCCCCACCTTTGGTCACTCTCTCTATCCCTAAATCTAAGATGAAGAAATTGCTTAGAGAGCCTAAAACACACCCAAGTTTTCATACCAATTACTAAGAAGTGGAGAAATCAGATGCAGAATACTGGCATCAGAGATCCTGTCCTTTGCATGATCTCAACATCTTTTCAAAAACTACAGGTGATTCATTTTGTTTCAGAAGCATTTCTTTGAACTTGGGAAACACCTGTTTATTTATTAGCATTTAAAAATGCTAAAATACTTCTCAAAACATAAAAACTTGCCCTCGTGATAACTACTGAAAGATTGGGTCATTTCCTTTCAATCTTTTCTCCGTATATATGGAGAAAAATAAGACTGTGACTAGTTTGTATTTTGCTTTTTCATTTAACATCTCATGAGCACTAGGTCACATCATTAGTTTTTATAAACAAGTTTTATTACTAAATAATGTTTCATCATATTATGGGTATATTTAAGTCTTCTATTTTTACCTAGCGAAGTTTCCAGGTTTTTGCTTTTTTTTTTTTTTTACAATGATCACTATGCAGCAGTTGATGTTTTGCACAAACAGTCGTCTTTATCTCCGTGATTTTGGAAGACAAGGGGCAGTACTGGTCAGCACGTCTGTTTTAAGGTCTCTGAGACACAATGTCAAATTGCTCCCATACCACCCGCACTAGATAGGTGCTGTCACCACGACCCCGGGATATTCTGAAAAGAGGCCTCTCCTGAGGCGATCACCCAAGGCTGTCAGGGCAGCTGAGGCCACACCGAGCAGGCCAGAGGAAACCGAAGGCGAGGACCCAGTGGGACTCGGTTGGGGACTCAAGGCTGGGCCAGCAGGAGTGAAGAGAACTGGAGCACGCACGGGAGCCGCAGAACATTCGATGCGGGGGAGACGGTTCAGGCTCAAAAAGGTAGCTCGGCGCCGTGCGGGGCGCAGGCGGGGGAGGCGGCCGCCAGTCCAGCTCCGCCGCCTCCGCGCCTCGCCCAGCACCCACCCGCGAGGTTGGCCGAGGCGCGAACCCCTCCCACCCCTTTAACAGAGACACTCCCCTTTAAGGCGGTCGCCCGCGCGCTCCCGGCCCCGCCCTTCGGGGGCGCGCGCGGCG